TTTCCACCAGGGAAGAAATTATTCTAGGGGTATGTGAGATGTCCGGAACCCTTCGAATAAAATTTAGCTGCCACAACCACCCAACCAGCCCAGAAACAGGACAAAACATGAAAAAACAATCACAACCAAATGCTTCTTGCTGAAAAGAAGATGGAAGAATCAGAAATAGAGGGGAACATGAAAGGTTGGGACATGCTGGAGCCACTTCCAGGAAATAGCCATGTTGAATGCCATTCTGTAGGATTTCCACCAGGGAAGAAATTATTCTAGGGGTATGTGAGATGTCCGGAACCCTTTGAATAAAAAAGTAGTTGCCGCAACAGCCCAGAAACAGGACAAAACATGAAAAAACAATCACAACCAAATGCATCTTGCTGAAAAGAAGATGGAAGAAATAGAGGGAAACATGAAAGGTTGGGACATGCTGGGGCCACTTCCAGGACAGAGCCATGTTCTTTCCAGAACAACCTTCGACTATGGCGGAATATTCTAAAAATATTCCAAGGGGGTATGGGTATGAACGGTTGGGGGTATGATAGGACCCGGCCATCATTCATTCATTGGGCACCTTTGGTTCCACAATTAATCATCCAGAATGCCCATAGCATTCATGGTCACCGCAGTAATTAAACAAGGGGTGGGTGAGTCCATATGTATTGAGCATTCATGAGCATTCATGTGCTGTATTGGAATACCTGCAGTGCCATTTCCATCCTGTAAAATTAAACCAGGTACTGTCAAGTAGCTTGTTTCATTTTGAGCTGGGGGGACCTGAACTGGATTGTGCTGGATTAATTTCCCATGCTAGTAAAAAAAATAATCGGCGGGTATACATTGACTGATGAATGTTGGAAAAAAAACATACTGCAGGGGGGCCCATTTAATTAAAAAAATAAACCTGGGGTCCCACCCCCTCCCACCAAGCACCGATAGGGACATCAAATTGCTGGGTACAATACGTCAGATGATGACACGCGCATCAGGTATGTATCTTGGGCAATCTTTGAGGTTTATTGGCGTAAGACAAGGCATCGCGATACACAGGTTGAAAAACCCCTCTCAAGAGCTCGGATGAAGATGACTCACGTGTGTGTATACCACGTTGGACAAAAGCATGTCGGAGATTCTCCTGGCATCAATGGTGAGTGCATTGCTTGCATGGCCTTCGAGCGGGCCCGTTATCAGGTTGATGTGATCGCACGCGACGGAAACAAGGCATGCGATCTTGCAACTCCGAAAGCCGGAGGAGTTCCTACGTACGAATGCAGCTTATTTCAGTACTGGATCAACAAGATGATGAATGTTGCAACACAGGCGAGACGCAAACATTTCGACAGAAATTGTCCACCTGTCAGGGTCAAGCACTTTATTTCTTGCAGTTATCGAGACTGATTTTCTTGCCACACATCTGGATGGCATTACAACAGCAACATACACACCAGAACTCGTGAAGAAGACAGAAGATCATGGCGGCTGTTGTATGATGTTTATTGTTGAATGGGGACATGCTAGATTGGAGTATGAGGATGATATCAGTCAATTTGATGATCAAGATCACATGGGCTATACTGGTGAATTTACCTTCAGGGTCAATGAGACTTGTTTAACCAGTGATCACAACATCTTCATGGTCGCGCCTACAGACAGAGTTGCTCGCAACCCAATTCTTGTTCACTTGAAACCCTCAGACATGGTTTGGGGTGAAAGACACAACTACATTCCTTACGGGATGAAACGAAGCGTCATGAAAAGAGAAAGGAAATACAGAAGGCGAACAAGAGGAAGGGCACTGAAGAGAGCAACTGGCAAAGTTGGAGCGACTGGCCTCAGACTTGTTATGGTGGATCCTCAGCTTCATCGTCCAGAACATGGAGACCGAAGTGAGTGCATACTTCTCTAGATGAAGATAACACAGCATGAGAAGCCGTGTACAGTTTTTGGCCTGCGCGCTCACTTTATTTCACAAAAATGTATTTACTCTTTCAGATGGAGATACTACCAAAAACCAAGTTTCATTTTTACACAAGATGGCATACACTCTTTTAGATAGAGATAATGCCACTACTGTGTCTGAATTTCAATTTAATGTAGATAGATACTCCTGTAGATAGAGATACTGTCGCATTTTGTCTCCGTAGACCTTCAGCCGAGCAGAACAGGTCCGAATGGAGCGAATCAACATTTTACCAACTCCGAATATTGCCCATTGTCCGTTTGAATGAGCGACTTTGGAGATCCGCTGTATCCGTTTATTTTGTGATTCGGTCAACTGTTTTGCATCTAACCTCACCTTCTAAATCTTGCGAATCCGAATTTTTGAAGATAAACTTTTCACACCGGTAAGAGCATTTTGCTGAACGGCCGTGCATTTTGCACCATTTTCGTGGAAAAAAATAATTAGCGCGACTTCCGCTCAGTTTTTGCAGATTAGCCACAGAGTAGCCCTGCACAGGCTATAACTCTTAATCTCGACTGGGTACGACAAGGCGTAGTGCTCTACTCATTGACTTTGAATTTGTGCCTGTTTGAGATGGGCTAGCTTGGATTCCTTTGGGAAGACATGCATGAGTATTGAGCACACTTTATATACGCTGGTCAAGGCTCAAGAGGGATATAGAGTAATCCTGCGGACACCGCACCGACTGGCAATCGCCGTGAGTCAAAAGGGTGTGAAGCTGTCTTGGGAAGACGCCCTAGCTGATGTATACGAGACGCTAGTGCCTATCTTCAGGGGGGAGGGGGGTGGACTTGATTCACACGAAGCAAAAACACGCAGCAAGAGAACAAAGGAACTGAACAAGCACAAGCCAAGCACAGAAACAAGAACAACACCTTCCAATCAGACACGCCGGCAGGCCGGCGGATTTCTAGCTTTACTTCTTTACATGGCTTCCATTTTGGGGGCGTTGTTCTTTATGCATCACACCACCCATCCCCATCCTCTTCCTCCTCCTCGCCTGGCATGGCGATCCCCAGGTTGCTTATGTCAATCTTACGAGAGAAAGATGCCTCCTCCCAATCCTCCGCATCCCCACCCCAATCCCCACCAGCCTCATTGTCATTGTCGTTGTCATCGACACCTTCACTGTCACTGTCATTGCCATGGTCGTCGTCATCATCATAATCATCATCATCGTCGTCACCATCATCATCATCATCATAATCATCATCATCGTCATTGTCAGCGTCAGCGTCATTGTCAATGTCATCGTCGTCGTCATTGTCATCTTCATCCTCATTCTTATTGTCAATGTCATCGTCATCGTCATCGTCATCGTCATCCTCAGCACCGTCACCATCACCATCACCATCACAATCAGCACGACCACCACCAGCACCAGCAACAGCAGCAGCAGCAGCAGCAGCGCCTTCATCTTCATCTTCATCATCATCATCACCATCATCACCATCATCACCACCATCATCATCAGCAGCAGCATCATCCTCATCATCGTCATCAACATCTCACTATCATCATCATCATCATCACCATCATCATCATCATTATCACCTTCTTCTTCTTTTCTTCTTCTTCTTCAACAACAACACCAACACCAACACCAACATCAACAACAAAAACAACAACAACAACAACAACAACAACAACAACAACAGCAACAGCAGCAACAGCAGCAACAGCAGCAACAACAGCAACAGCAACAACAGCAACAACAGCAACAACAGCAACAACAGCAACAACAGCAACAACAGCAACAACAGCATCAGCATCAACATCAGCATCAGCATCATCAACAACAACACCACCACCAGCAACAGCAACAGCAACAGCAACAGCAACATCATCATCATCATCATCATCAACAACATCAACACCAACATCAACATCAACATCAACATCAACGTCGTCATCATCATCATCATCATCATCAACGTCAACGTCATCATCATCATCGTCATCATCAACAACGTCAACTTCAACGTCAACGTCAACGTCAACGACAGCGTCAACGTCAACATCAACATGAACGCCATCATCATCAGTGGCACCTTTGTTCTTATCATTACGTCTATATTCTGCCTGAGTCTCACCCACATCAACAAAACAATGCATGTTAACTGTTCTTTCGCCCGAGGAAAACGTGCCTTGTTGATGCCGACCCGAATCAACCCAATAGAAAGTGTGCTTGACACTTTCCCTTTCATCAGCTACTGTACTATACAGACAAGTCTATACAACTACATACACCCTTCGTTCCCCCCCGCTTGCTTGCAAGTCCGTTCTTGTTCGCACAAGCCCTGTCATGAGATGGGTTGCGTTGAGGGGGCATTGCATTGGGGCGGTAATGGCAAATCTACCTAAGAAAGCTACGATCAACTTTGGGGCAAGTGCTTTGCGCACTTGATTCGGAAACACAAGACAGCCTGCGCGCAAGTGCACGGAACATGTCCTGAATTTCAACAAGACGCTTCAAGACAGCCTGAAGACTGAATTGACGTAACGACTGCTTGACCAGGCCGAGTTGCAGGGGTCTCAACGAGCCCTGCTGGGTAAACGCGCAGTGCTGCAGCGCACGATGTCACCCGCATCTGGGTGCAACTATTGTAGGATTTTTTGCGAAATAGCATGCTTACCACCGAAAAAACCATTTTTGTGAGTCATGGCTGAAGTGCAACAGGTCACCATCCAGTTGCCTGAGTAAGGAACACGTATCACTGTCGGCCAGTGGGAAGATGAGGAAGACTTGAGATCGGAGAATTAGTCATGCATAGTTTGTAAAGCTGACAGAGAGGACTTTGCTCCTCTTTGCTGCAGCGGTTTGTCAACTTGCCCATGATAGGCAATTGCCATCCCTGGAAAAAAGATGCTACTGAAAGTTTGCAGTCTAGGAGGTATTCAACATTCGCACGCATGCGCATTGTTTCAGATCGGGAGCGGCGGTTTGGTCCATGTGCATTTTTCAGTGAGTTTCACCTATTTGTTAAAGTTAAAACAATTGCGGAGATCATCTAACCCTGAAATTGTTGGCTGAATTGGCTCAAGAAGACCACGTGGCAGAGAGCTTTGCCAATGTTTCCCTCTTTGGAACTGAGCGCGGTGGTGCCAGCTTTTGCTGAGAGCAAAGCTGTGGCACGAGGATTGCCTAGCAGATGGCTTCGCAAAGAGGACCAGTCGGACAAGGACTTCAGACACAGCCTTTGTCTCAACCGGTTGTGCACAGATTTGACATCCAGAGACCCAGACATTCGGCAAAAAGCAGCTGAATCCCTAGAACATTTGTCGAAAGGTGACTCTTTCGCCTCGGCATTGGCTTCCAACTTGCAACCGGCACTCCGTGGTTTGAAGCCCGCTGAAAACGGGCCCGTCAAGTTAGCCATCCTTGGGGCCTTGCGCTCGATTGCTGAGAAAGGCCATGCAATCTCAGTGGCTTTGCATGGAAGCGTGCTGCTGCCATGTTTCAAAGATCAGGACATCTTGGTTCAAAGGAAAGTCTCCGCATTGTATCGTGTCCTGGCAGAAGAAGGTGCTGCGTCCATGGTGGCACAAGATGTCAAGAGTATCATGCATCTTGGTTGGCGGTAGCGGTAATCTTTAGTCTTGTTTGTTTGTTCTTGTTCCCGAGAGCGTCTGAGCGCAGGGTTCTTCCAATAGTGGGGGTCTGCATCTCATCTTCTCATCTTCACATCTTCTCATCTTCACACCTTCTCATCTTCACATCTTCTCATCTTCACATCTTCTCATACTCACATCTTCTCATCTTCACATCTTCTCATCTTCACATCTTCTCATCTTCACAGCTGCTCATCTTCACATCTTCTCATCATCACATCTTGAGTTCTTCACATCTTCTCATCCTCACATCTCCTCATCTTCACACCTTCTCATCTTCACACCTTCTCATCTTCACATCTTCTCATCTTCACATCTTCTCATCTTCACATCTTCTCATCTTCACAACTTCTCATCTTCACAGCTGCTCATCTTCACATCTTCTCATCTTCACATCTTGAGTTCTTCACATCTTCTCATCTTCACATCTTCACATCCTCACATCTTCACATCTTGCCCTCTTGCCCTCTTGCCCCTTTTGCCCTCTTGCCCCTCTTGCCCTCTCCTTATTTCTCTTCTGAAGGCGGGGGCAGGGGCAGTGCCAACGAGACGGCACGAAACGCAACCCTTTCGCACGAAATGAGGTTCGATCGCCCAAAACTGAGGTAAAATTGCGATTTCAACTTGTCCGGCGCAACGCTTTCGCACGAAACGAGGTTCGATCGCCAAAAACTCAGGTAAAAGTGCGAGTTCAAGTCGTCCCGCGCAACCCTTTCGCACGAAATGAGGTTCGATCGTCAAAAACTGATGTCAAATTGCGATTTCAACTTGTCCGGCGCAACCCTTTCGCACGAAACGAGGTTCGATCGCCAAAAACTGAGGTAAAATTGCGATTTCAACTTGTCCGGCGCAACCCTTTCGCACGAAACGAAGTTCGATCGCCAAAAACTGAGGTAAAATTGTGATTTCAACTTGTCCGGCGCAACCCTTTCGCACCAAACGAGGTTCGATCGCCAAAAACTGAGGTAAAAGCATCTGTGTAAAAGCGTCTGCTTAAAAGCTTCTGTGTGCTCTGTGTCAAAGTGTCTGTGTGTAAAAGCGTCTGTGTGTAAAAGTTTCTGTGTGTAAAGGTGTCTGTGTGTAAAAGCTTCTGTGTGTAAAAGCGTCTGTGTAAAAGCTTCTGTGTGTACAATCTTCTGTGTTAAAAGCCTCTGTGTGTAAAAGCTTCTGTGTGTAAAATCTTCTGTGTGTAAAAGCCTCTGTGTGTAAAAGCGTCTGTGTGTAAAGCCGTCTGTGTGTAAAAGCGCCTGTGTTTGTAAAAGTGTCTTTGTGTCAAAGCGTTTGTGTGTAAAAGTGTCTGCGTGTAAAAGCGTGTGTGTGTGTGTAAAAGTGTCTGTGTGTAAAAGTGTCTGTGTGTAAAAGCTTCTGTGTGTAAAAGCGTTTGTGTAAAAAGCGTCTGTGTAAAAGCTTCTGTGTGTACAATCTTCTGTGTGTAAAAGCCTCTGCGTGTAAAAGCTTCTGTGTGTAATTTTTCCCAAAGGCATCTCTGATGCTTGGGTTCTCGTTTAGTTGCACTCGCCGCGGGGGAGCGAGACTGAGTGTTGGACGGAGATGTGTTGGACGGAGATGGGAAGGAAGGAAGGAAGGAGGGAGGGAGGGAAGGGAGGGAAGGAAGGGAAGGAAGGGAAGGAAGGGAAGGAAGGGAGGAAGGGAGGAAATAGCTTGCGGAAAGCTTAGACAGCATGCTGGACGGAGAGGAAACCGTGCAAATAGCTTGCGGAAAGCTTCGCTGGGAGGGAGCCAGAGAGCATGCTGGACGGACAGGAAACCGTGCAAATAGCTTAGGGAGAGCTTCGCTGGGAGGGAGCGAGACAGCATGCTGGACGGAGAGGATGCAAATAGCTTGCGGAGAGCTTCGCTGGGAGGGAGCGAGACAGCATGCTGGACGGACAGGAAACCGTGGAAATAGCTTGGGGGGAGCTTCGCTGGGAGGGAGCGAGACAGCATGCTGGACGGAGAGGAAACCGTGCAAATAGCTTGTGGAGAGCTTCGCTGGGAAGGAGCGAGACAGCATGCTGGACGGACAGGAAACCCTGCAAATAGCTTAGGGAGAGCTTCGCTGGGAGGGAGCGAGACAGCATGCTGGACGGAGAGAAAATAGCTTGCGGAAAGCTTCGCTGGGAGGGAGCGAGACAGCATGCTGGACAGACAGGAAACGGTGGAAATAGCTTAGGGAGAGCTTCGCTGGGACGGAGCGAGACAGCATGCAGGGAGCGAGAGAGCATGCTGGACGGACAATAAAACGTGGAAATAGTTTAGGGAGAGCTTCGCTGGGAGGGAGCGAGACAGCATGCTGGACGGAGAGGAAACCGTGGAAATAGCTTGCGGAAAGCTTCGCTGGGAGGGAGCGAGACAGCATGCTGGACGGACAGGAAACGGTGGAAATAGCTTGGGGAGAGCTTCGCTGGGAGGGAGCGAGACAGCATGCAGGGAGCGAGCGAGCATGCTGGACGGACAGGAAAACGTGGAAATAGCTTGGGAGCGAGACAGCATGCTGGACGGAGAGGAAACCGTGCAAATAGCTTGGGGAGAGCTTCGCTGGGAGGGAGCGAGACAGCATGCTGGACGGACAGGAAACCGTGCAAATAGCTTGCAGAAAGCTTCGCTGGGAGGGAGCGAGACAGTGCTGGACGGACTGGAAACCGTGCAAATAGCTTGCGGAGAGCTTCGCTGCAGGGAGGGAGCGAGACAGCATGCTGGACGGACAGGAAACCGTGCAAATAGCTTGCGGAAAGCTTCGCTGGGAGGGAGCGAGACAGCATGCTGGAAGGACAGGAAGCCGTGGAAATAGCTTGGGGAGAGCTTCGCTGGGAGGGAGCGAGACAGCATGCTGAGACAGCATGCTGGACGGATAGGAAACTGTGGAAATAGCTTACGGAGAGCTTCGCTGGAAGGGAGCGAGACAGCATGCTGGACGGAGAGGAAACCGTGCAAATAGCTTGCGGAGAGCTTCGCTGGGAGGGAGCGAGACAGCATGCTGGACGGAGAGGAAACCGTGGAAATAGCTTGCGGAGAGGTTCGGCGGGAGGGAGCGAGACAGTGCTGGACGGACTGGAAAGCGTGCAAATAGCTTGCGGAAAGCTTCGATGGGAGGGAGCGAGACAGCATGCTGAACGGACAGGAAACCGTGCAAATAGCTTGGGGAGAGCTTCGCTGGGAGGGAGCGAGACAGCATGCTGGACGGAGAGGAAACCGTGCAAATAGCTTTCGGAAAGCTTCGCTGGGAGGGAGCGAGACAGTGCTAGACGGACTGGAAACCGTGCAAATAGCTTGCGGAGAGCTTCGCTGGGAGGGAGCGAGACAGCATGCTGGACGGACAAGAAACCGTGGAAATAGCTTAGGGAGAGCTTCGCTGGGAGGGAGCGAGACAGCATGCTGGACGGACAGGAAACCGTGCAAATAGCTTGGGGAGAGCTTCGCTGGGAAGGAGCCAGACAGCATGCTGGACGCAAATAGCTTGGGGAGAGCTTCGCTGGGAAGGTGCGAGACAGCATGCTGGACGGAACCGTGCAAATAGCTTGCGGAAAGCTTCGCTGGGAGGGAGCGAGACAGCATGCTGGACGGAGAGGAAACCGTGCAAATAGCTTGCGGAAAGCTTCGCTGGGATGGAGCGAGACAGCATGCTGGACGGAGAGGAAAACGTGCAAATAGCTTGCGGAAAGCTTCGCTGGGAGGGAGCGAGACAGCATGCTGGACGGACTGGAAACCGTGCAAATAGCTTGGGGTGAGCTTCGCTGGGAGGAAGCGAGACAGCATGCTGGACGGAACCGTGGAAATAGCTTTCGGAAAGCTTCGCTGGGAGGGAGCGAGACAGCATGCTGGACGGAGAGGAAACCGTGGAAACAGCTTGCGGAGAGCTTCGCTGGGAGGGAGCGAGACGGCATTCTGGACGGACAGGAAACCCTGCAAATAGCTTGGGGAGAGCTTCGCTGGGAGGGAGCGAGACAACATGCTGGACGGACAGGAAACCGTGCAAATAGCTTGGGGTGAGCTTTGCTGGGAGGGAGCGAGACAGCATGCTGGACGGAGAGGAAACCGTGCAAATAGCTTGCGGAGAGCTTCGCCGGGAAGGAGCGAGACAACATGCTGGACGGAGAGGAAACCGTGGAAGCAGCTTGCGGAGAGCTTCGCTGGGAGGGAGCGAGACAGCATGCTGGACGGACAGGAAACCGTGGAAATAGCTTGGGGAGAGCTTCGCTGGGAGGGAGCGAGACACAGCATGCTGGACGAGAGGAAACCGTGGAAATAGGTTGCGGAGAGCTTCGCTGGGAGGGAGCGAGACAGCATGCTGGGCGGACAGGAAACCGTGCAACTAGCTTGGGGTGAGCTTCCCTGGGAGGGAGCGAGACAGCATCATGCTGGACGGAGAGGAAACCGTGCAAATAGCTTGCGGAGAGCTTCGCTGGGAGGGAGCGATACAGCATGCTGGACGGAAAGGAAACCGTGCAAATAGCTTGGGGAGAGCTTCGCTGGGAGGAAGCGAGACAGCATGCTGGACGGAACCGTGCAAATAGCTTGCGGAAAGCTTCGCTGGGAGGGAGCGAGACAGCATGCTGGACGGAGAGGAAACCGTGGAAATAGCTTGCGGACAGCTTCGCTGGGAGGGAGCGAGACAGCATGCTGGACGGACAGGATACCGTGGAAATAGCTTGGGGACAGCTTCGCTGGCAGGGAACGAGACAGCATTCAAGCCGTGGAAATGGCTTGGGGAGAGCTCAATGCAGAGCTGTTGTTGCGGCTTTGTCAGAGCTGTTGGGACGTTTTTTCAGGACAAATGTTATCATTGCGATTGTCCTGAAAAACTGTGGGTCCAAGACGTGGAAATAGCTGGAGGAGAGCTGCGTAGGGAGAGAGCGACACTAAAATGCAGAGCTTTTGGCACTGGGGTTTTCAGGACAATTTCCATCAATGCGATTGCTCTGAAAAACTGTGGGTCCAAGACGTGGAAATAGCT